TTGTTTTTGGGTGCTTCTACAAAAAGCCAATATTTTAATAAAGGCTGACTGATAAACAAAAACAGCTAGTGAGTTTGGGGATTATTTATTGAAAATAAATATCCGATAAGGTCTGAATGTGCAGTGGAAATGAAAGGGGATTATTGAGCTGCGACAAAAATCGTTCCGTCCAAACGGGTAGCAAATAACCACCCTTTGGAAGGATAATTAAATGAGAGAAGTATTAACTACGCAGTGCTTTTCGTGAAATTAAGCTCCAATTACCTTCGCTAGTGTCACTAATACATTTTCATCGCCAACACGAAAAAATTCATTTATACTAAGTGACATATAAATCCGAACACCCAGTTTAAATGGTTTTATTTTAATAAAATTTTGTATAAGTACTTAATGAAGCATAATAAGTAAATGATAAAAATTTCAAAATGATTGCACTGCTTTAAAGCCCTTTGACCTTTAATAATGTGTGGATGCACCCTGATGTGCTACGCTATTCTCCAACGCGCCTAGGCATGCTTCTGATCAGGTGGTCAATGTCCTCCTGTGGTATCTCATTCCAGGCAACCACCAACTCCTCTCGAAGTGCTTCTAGAGTCTGAGGAGGACGTTGCAAATTGAGCAATCTCCTACCCATCATATCCCACACGTGCTCAATTGGGGATAAGTCGGGAGATCTTGGTGGCCATGGTAACAATGTGACATCATTATGTTGAAAGAAGTCTATTGTGACTCTTGCAACATGTGGTCGGGCATTATCTTGTTGAAAAGTTGGATCTGCCAGGGTGTCAAGATAGGGTAAAACATGGGGTTCTAGAACTTCGTGGATATAACGCTGCGCGTTCATGTTACCTCTGATGAAGATTAAAGGTGACCTGGAACCATAAGCTATAGCACCCCAAACCATAACTCCAACAGTGTGATGAACATGTCTTTCAACAAAAAACTGTGGATTCCTCCTTTCACTACGTCGCCTTCTAACCCTGGCACGACCATCGTGCATGCCTAAACAAAATCGAGACTCGTCACTAAAGACAATACTGTTCCATTCCTGATCCACAGAGTGACCGTTGTCTGCACCACTCAAGGCGATTACGGTCGGTGTTCTCGAGTTAAAGGGAGGACCCAGTGTGGCCGGTATGAAAACAAGCCAAAACTTCTCATTCGTCGGTAAACACTTCGCATGCCAATAGGTCTTCCGTGTTCTGCAAACCATTCATTTGCAATGGACCTGGTAGTGGAGAAACGGTCCCTTAAGGCCAATAATCTTAGGCGGCGATCTTCACGGTCTGTTGTTCTACGGCGGCGTCTAGTGCCCCTTGCTCTTTGCGTACGGCCTTCTCGAAGCCATGCCTGACAACACCTAACCACAGTGTCTACACTTCTTTGCACTCTAACTGCAATTGCCCGAAAAGAAAGTCCAGCTTCCCGAAGTCCCACTATACGGCACCTATCAAACTCACTAAGTTGACGAAATCGTACAGGTCTCCGTACTCTAGGCATCGTAACCGATCGTAAAGGATGTCAAGAACCAAAATCCGCCAACGTTGATTCTTTACTGCGGCTGAAATATTCACTTTTTAGAGCGTAAGTGAATTAAAAAAAGCAGTATAAAAACCGGAATGTCCAACTGATAAGGCTGAAATTTTTTCACTTGTTATTTACAGTAAGATAAATACATTCACCAACTTTTATTAAAATAAAACCATTTAAACTGGGTATTCGGATTTATATGTCACTAGTATACAATGTTTTATTATAAATTTAATGATTGTAAAATCAGCATCATCGACAACATTAATAATGCGTGCGGAAAAGTTATGCGTGCGGAAATTCCTTAACCTAAAAGTCAATGTCACTGATATCGCTGTCAAAAATATCTCTACCTTGTAAAGGAAGATTCTCCTGAAAGCGTTTATTTATGCTCACTAAGGAAGGCTGGAGGATTAATTGCAAATAAACATTAAAGCGTCGTACTTTGCTTTCTTGAGGTAATTTTTTGTGTAAAAAGGCTGTAAATTATTGTTTGTTCCTTGAAGTTAATGATAAAACTACAACCAACCGGCTTACGGGACCAAATATTAATCTCTAGTATTTTCTCTTCTGTTGACGTCATACTTGTGTTAACACTGATCAAAAAACACTGAATAAGTGGCTAGCAACACTTCATAATATCAGTGCAACAACTGGATATCTTTAGATGTCTAGTTAAAGCATGTACATTTTCCTTGTTCTGGGAGCTATATGGTTTTTACCAGTCTGTAAACATCATTTCTTTATTCCTAGGAAATATCCAGTTCTTGCAGTGAAAAGGACATATAAAATAGATTAGATTTAACTGTATAACCCAAAATGACCAAATTTTAAGTTGACTAGTTGTTGCACTAAGGGGACGATATACAGAAACATCTGCAACCTTGAATCGAGATGAGTGGATGGAGAGGAACGAAGTTAGTCAAAGCAACGATGCCAGATGGTCGGTAATGTCGGTAGGACGAGGGACAATTTTTTAGGTCTTAAAAGCACTATGGCAAAAAAATTACAGAACCAAATTTTAGAAAAACGAACGTGAGAAATGCACAAACTCAAGGATGCCTTTTATGTACACGACTCGATCCAAACAACACGATTTATCGCCAGACTCCATCTGCCAAATTGATGAGTCCGCTTAGTTCTGCAAACATCCTGCGATATAGTGCATCCTTGGCATATTTATCCTGCCGCACCAGGAGTGATATTAAAATCTAAGTAACAGCCCGAAAAACTTATCAATCACGCTATCGCCCCACATTTTTCATAAGCTCGGCTTTACGAGCATCTGCGTTCAGAAGTAACATCGATTTGGGTAGTCGGAGGATTCATAAAAATACATATCTAAGTTCAGGGCAGAGGCGTGCCCAACATTTGAAAATATAATTGATTCCAGTCCCGCTGCTTCGGCATCTCACAGATGAACGCAAATAGTTCATTACGAACTTAGTTGCAGAAGTGGGCCAGCATTGGGCTAACACGTTCACAACCTGGCAAGACCAGTAATGATTTCAAGCGAGGTATTTTTTTGACACTGAAGCAGCCACGTGATCTCGATACCCTAGCGTCAGAGGAGCGGTCGTATCGGTCAGTTCTGAATACGGGTCTGGAAGCCCGTTGGTACAGTAGTAGAACCAAAGGGTCCGAGACTGTCTGTTAGAGAAGAGTGACCGATTAGTCCAGAGTTCCCCAAACTTTTTTGTGTCGTAGACCCCTTGCCATGTTTTTCCGTGTTGTGTAGACCCCCTACTTACCTGATATCGATTTCCTGTAAATTCTAACTGTAGTGAAGTTTAGTGTTGAAAACTTAAACTAAAAACACATGTTAATTTATACATTTATTAACTGAATTTAAATTAAAACTACTCAAAATAAAATTTTGTATCTATTATGTAAAATATACGTAACATTAAATAAACAGGTGTCTGACCAATAAGTACCCGCATTGGGAATAAGTGCCCGCATTGAAACAAAAATAAGAGGCATAAAATAAAAAAAAGTGAAAAATAATAAAAAAAAGTGTTTTACTTAAAATAGTACAATAAGCGAGTTCGTTTATTAATTATAACATAAACGTATGTTCTACAATAATTTCACTGTTAGTTTGATTAAATTCCTCTTCTTATACGTTTAAGTTATCTAAAAATAGGCAAAAAATTAACGAATTTTACTGTGTACCTATCCTTGAATTTTCAGAATAATTTAAAAAAATATTTTCTATGAAGGGGGTTCTTTAAAAAAGTCAATGCGGGCACTTATTTCCAATGCGGGCATTTATTGGTCAGACACCAATAAACATAAAATAAACTATAAATAAAATAACATAAGCAATAAGTCAATATTTTTAGTAAGAAGGATCAACCTGATGCTTTAATAATAAATTATCAACATTTGGCGTCAATTTTGTAAGGGTTAATCTTAAATCTCCTCGGCTAATGATGTCCATCTGTTTCTTTTTTTCGTTAGGAGATTGGAAACAGCGCTGAACCCCCTTTCCACTAGGTATGACGATGGAAAGGAAATTAAATATTTCCTCGCTATATTCCAGAATACGGGATAAGTAACGGGTATGTTGTTTTGCAGCCAGAATTGCTGATATCCGTTTTTAAACTGAACCTTAAGTTCTTCGTTTGTACTTAGTTCAGTCAGTTACTCTTGTATTATGACATTCGTTTCTTCTATGTCACCATATGGATTAATTATCCACGGTGGTATTACCATAGTCAAAATATCCTCAAACCTAGATTCAAAATCTGAATAGAGGGCATTTAAATGTTGAATGTAAGTTGAAACGTCGTCTTCCTGGCAGCCTGTCTGTGACAAATTGGGGAACTGAGAAAATTCGCCCCGCCCAATATTTTGCTTCATTAGTTTAACTCTGGCAAGAAACGCTGATAAGATGGACTTGGTTTTAATCAAATTTAAACTGTCGCCTTGTACTTGCAAATTAACCATATTAAATTTTGTAGACAAATCTGTTAAATAGGCGATGTCTGTTTTCCTCTTCATTAAATTTTCTTTAAAATTTTATCTTTAGTATCCAGAAATTCTAAATAGTCTCAAAAAGTGCAAAAAATCTTGTCAAACATAAGCCTTTCGACAGCCAGCGTACTTCAGTGTGAGGAGTAATTGATGATCAAACAACTGCTCAAATAACCGCGTATTCAACGCGTTGCTTCGGATTCGGTTTACTGCATCAATGACTAAATGAAGTGATTCATGCAATCTAACACTAAATTTTTAGCAACTAAATGTTGTCGATGGATGACGCAATGTATTGCTAACAGCCCTGACACATTTTGTTTTAAATAGCTTATAAATCCACGATAACGTCCAACCATGTCAGGTGCTCCATCTGTAGCTACTGATACTATATTTGATAAAGGAATTGCTTTTTCAATGAAGTAATCCTTCAAAACATGAAATATTGATTCACCTTTAGTGTCGGTTATCAAAGTTCTTGCGAAGAGCAGTTATTCGTAGATTTCTTGATTCATAATAAAACGAACATATGCCAATAATAATGCTGCATTATCAGTTAAAGTTAACTCGTCCAGTTGTATAGAGAAATGAGTCGTTTGCAAATAATTACATAAGAAGCTTTCAATATCAGAACTCATTTCATCAATACGTCTTTCAACAGTATTGTTGCTTAAGGGAATTCTTTTAATGATATCAGATGCAGGTTTGTGTAAAACAGTTTTTAAAACCTCTTCAACGGCTGGCAAAATTAACTTCTCTCCGATAGTATGCGGTTTTCCGGATTTTGCTATAAGTAACGAGATATTGTAAGACGCCCGCAAACCATCATCATTTCTTTGTGACGTCGAAGCGAACATTCTGTCCCGTGTAGGTCTCTTCTGAAATTTATCTTTGAGTGTTTGAAAGTATCTCAAATCTTTCTCTGTTTTATCAGGGTGGCATCTTTTCAGATGATCTTCCAGTTTAGATGGTTTCATAGCGTCATTGCCCAAAACTTTGTTGCATAAAAGGCACATAGGCGATTGTTTGTCCGGCAATGATGGAATGAAGCCAAATTTCAAATAATCAACACTGTACTGTCTACATTTCTTTTTAGATTCGGACATGGCATCAGTCATCTGTCGGCAAAATTAAATTATTTAAATAAGACAGCAAATCCAGCAGCTGTATATTAAAAATATTTTTTGATTTTTCCGAAAACATTCCATAATTCGAACATCTTCTTAGAACAATTAGCTCAAATTACGGAGATTGCACTGCAATTATATTACCGATTGCTAAAACTTTCAAAAAGAAACTATTGGGGAGTACTCGTGTAATTTTGCATGATTGAATATTTAACTACTAACAACTAAAGTCATGACTGGCGTAATTTATCTATCTTTGCTAACTACGAGTACAAAACTAAAATTTACTAAAAAATAATGTACTTACTTTTCTCCAGCACTCTCAAACAAAATAACACTGACTCACTATAATTTGTGTGATATACTATCTGTTTATATTTTTTAAAATATTTTCTTAGCACTTTCCTTTTCAAGATTCAGGAAACGAATAAACGTATTTGTCCCACATTCGTATTTATAGAGTGACGAATTGAACAAGTCAGTGCAAGGTATTGAAGCTCTGAGACTGCGACTCTCAGGTTTTTACAAGTTCAAAATGTATTGCGACCACAAAGCGAATACCAGCATCCTACAACTTACACAATTTTATAAACATATATAATAAATTTTTTACTCCATAGGTACTTTTATAAATAATGTATATGTTTTGATATTATAAGATAGTATGATGTAAGTAAATAGGTACTATCAGTGTATGTGACCCCCATATTGATTTCATGGACCCCCAAATTTTTTTTCGCTGACGTAGAACCCGTGCAGGTTGTCATAGACCCCTAGGGGTCGATATAGACCACTTTGGGAATCAATGGATTAGTCAGACAATCCTCCTCTGAATAGTACAATACTCGAGGCTAGGCCTTATCTGGACCTTGTACGGAGTGAGGAGATCATGTGCAGAAGAGTACTTCCTAGCCCTAAAGAAATAGCCCTGCTTGTTCCCGGTGATCTGTTGTACTCCGACTAGCCGAAAGGAACAGCTCTTTGGCAGAACTGGGCCGTCCATCGGATCCCGATGAGCGCTAGGATGCTTGTTGTTTGTCAAGGTACAGTACTGTGTTTTGGAAACAACAATACTGTTGCGTCCCCAAGCGGTGACATCCTCCAGGTCTCCTGTCAGAGAAGTCGCTGCTTGTCTGTTTTTATTCGACTTACCTCCAGAGATGGGCTTCTCACTCTGTGTCCCTGCATGAAGAGCGCTTTCGTCAGCAAAGCTGTGGATTGGACCGATCGAACAGGAAAAAGCAGAATAAAATGTATGGAATGTTCTTCTCTACCAACACTAAACAGCGTGTTAGGTACAAGAACCTACAATCGTTGGGTATCTGAAGGCTCTATTTGAAATCGTAATTGTTCTAAGGTCTACGATTTCATGCTGAATTCCCTGAAAAGTCACATAAATATTGTTATAATTTTTTTGTTTTTGAGGTAACGACACAAAGCAAACATGGTTGAGTACTGTGATACATGCTAAATTAGAGCACATAACAAGACTTCAGTCCTCTCAAAGCTGTGAAATTGTGCGAAGTGAATAAGTAAATTGAAAAGTGGCACTGGACGCCGCCGTAGACCAACAGACCGTGAAGATTGCCGCCTAAGATTATTGGCCTTAAGGGACCGTTTCTCCACTACCAGGTCCATTGCAAATGAGTGGTTTGCAGAACACGGAAGACCTCTTGGCATGAGAAGTGTTTACCGACTAATGAGAAGTTTTGGCTTGTTTTCATACCGGCCACACTGGGTCCTCCCTTTAACTCGAGAACACCGACGTAATCGCCTTGAGTGGTGCAGACAACGGTCACTCTGGGATCAGGGATGGAACAGTATTGTCTTTAGTGACGAGTCTCGATTTTGTTTAGGCATGCACGATGGTCGTGCCAGGGTTAGAAGGCGACGTGGTGAAAGGAGGAATCCACAGTTTTTTGTTGAAAGACACGTTCATCACACTGTTGGAGTTATGATTTGGGGTGCTATAGCTTATGGTTCCAGGTCACCTTTAATCTTCATCAGAGGTAACATGAACGCGCAGCGTTATATCCACGTAGTTCTAGAACCCCATCTTTTACCCTATCTTGATACCCTGGAAGATCCAACTGTCCAACAAGATAATGCCCGACCACATGTTGCAAGAGTCACAATAGATTGTTACCATGGCCACCAAGATCTCCCGAGTTATCCCCAATTGAGCACGTGTGGGATATGATGGGTAGGAGATTGCTCAATCTGCAACGTCCTCCTCAGACTCTAGAAGCACTTCGAGAGGAGTTGGTGGTTGCCTGGAATGAGATACCACAGGAGGACATTGACCACCTGATCAGAAGCATGCCTAGGTGCGTTGGAGAATTTGGGTGTTCGGATTTATATGTCACTTAATATATATTTAAACGATATTGTCTAAATATGAAGGCACTGACTGAAATGAATTTGAAAATGATCTTGTTTGTTCTCTTTGTACATTGAGTGAATAAATATTATTATTATTATTCAAGTTTCTCATGATTCTTATATAACTCAGTTTCCAACTACATTCGAAATGGCTCATCCACTTGATGAGAAAATGAGTAATTGAAAAGTGGTAAACAGCTAGGCCTAGCGATATCTCTTATACAAATTTGTTTTAAGTTAATAGCTTCCCATACCTGAAATACGTACATTGTCTACTTTGCTTACATCGAGTACGTGAATGCCCAGAAGAGGCATGGTTTTTCAAATTTTATGCGTGGAAGGTAAGAATATTTTGTGAACATTAACATCGTTTTACATTCTCACCACGGTACCACCCCGTGAAAGGAAGACGCTAGCTGTAACTTAAATCCCACGCTTTCAATATGGCAGCTTTTTACAAGTATACCTATCAATAAGTCAAATCCAATTATTAGGACCGAAAAAACGAGCCTTTCCGATTCAAAAAGCAGTCAATAGGCCATCTGATATTCAAAATCATATTTTTCTACACAGCCCGATATGCATCAATAGCTCTATTATTTGCGCCCTTTTTGCATCCACAGCCAATTCCGAAATTGTCAACAACAAATTTGGGGTATGCCAGAACGAGTTCAGCGGCAAGTCCGGCGAACAGTGGCGGCCCACTAGCTTTTATTCGGGGGTTCGGTAGAATAAGTGAGTTGGGCGGCCCTATAGTTAGGTTTAAGCCATTACGGAGATTTTAGGTAAACTTTATCTGAAGTCACTTGAAACACTGTGAAATACCGGGTGCGTTTTATATATCTATATTTAACACGCTCTGTTGCTGCAAAAATCGCCAAATTTCGCAGCAAATATCCCCCGTATAAGATCAAAGGCAGTTTCACCGGTCCACGTGGAGTAAAGCACGCCTATGCGTGGACATAGCCAATGAGAAAGCGTGTATTTCAGAGCTCCGAACAAGTGCAGGTGGCTACTGAAAATTGAAACAGTTTAGCCAGTGCCGTGTAGCGGTGAATAAACGTGTTTTCTTTAGTCTGTCCGTGTTTTTTCATAGATTTTATTAGTTTGTGTGTTTTTGACTTTTTAATACTCAGTTTACTTGTTGATTTAATTGTTGTGTTGATTGTTCTTGTGTGTCCTAAATATGGCTCTTTGGACACCTTGGGCAAATGCTCCAAGCCACGAGGAGATGGTTGATGAACCTGTGCGGGAAGAATAGACGTGGGTTTTCAGGAAGATATTCGTCGTATAATATATGGATTTTATAAAGAAAATTTGGTGCCCACGTTGGAAATGATACGGGATAAATTAAAAGATTATCCTGAAGATTTTTATAATTACAAATGCTTAGACTCACTGCACTGTATTGTAAAACTGTGTGGTTTTCAATACAAAAAATTAGATAAAAGAATGGTGATTATGGAGTCGTCTCGAATCGTTCAATTGCGCCAAGAATTTTTGCACAAAGTTAAAATCTATAGAGAGCAGAAAAGAAATCTGATTTACCTGGATGAAACGTGGTATGATACCCATGATGTTGTGCAGTACAGCTGGGTTGACGATAGCAACAAGTGCATTTTAAATGCACCATGCAACCGTGGAAAACGAATCATTATTCTCCATGCTGGCAGTGAAAATGGATTTATACCTAATGCCTTGCTGTTATCTGCCAAAAATATCAAAGAATCATGTGCCGACTATCATGAGGACATGACCTCCGACTTATTTGAAAAGTGGATAGAGCAGCAGTTAATACCAAACATTTCCCCAAATTCAGTGATTATTATGGACAATGCGCCATACCATTCCCGACAGAAAAACAAAATTCCGAATACAGGCACAAAAAAACAAGACATTATTGATTTTATGAAGGATAAGGGAATGGAAATACCACAAAAATCAACCAAAGCCATATTATTGGATCTTATTAAAAGACAAAAATTTGAAAAAGAGTATGTTGTTGACAATCTGCTTCAGCAAAATGGCCATGATGTATTACGTCTACCTCCCTATTACTGCATTTTTAACCCGATTGAGTTAGTCTGGGCTGCTTTAAAAAAAAGTAAGAAAACATAATCAGACCCCTCAATTAAGTGAATCGCTATTGGCCACAATAAGAGATGCAGTATCTCATATTGCTGCCACAGACCTATGGAAGCAGTGTTCTAGGCATATTATTGAAAAAGAAAATGAATATTGTGTTTTGCCTCCTGTAAATCCCGTTGTAATTCCTCTACAAGATGACTCTAGCGACAGCTCCGAAGGCGAGGATGATACATAAATACCTATGATGTAAGTCTTTATATACCTTTTTATATACCTACCTG